TCTTCCTCTCTTTCTTTCACTCTCTCCAGGCGCCTGCACACATTCGGACAAGGTGCCAAAGTATAAATGAACAAGTGAAACAAAGAACATCCTGCTGAAGCATGACCCTTCCTCTTCTTGCTGCCCAGATTAGGGTGGTGCTACCTGCCCTGAAGGTGCCAGTGTATGAGAGAGGGAGAGAAAGAGACAGAGAGGGGGAGAGAGAGTGTATGTAACACTATACCACAACACACGTACGCACGACAGAAATTTTAGGCACACATGTATGAATCACAGCATATAGTGGGCAAGCTAGTCATTCATATACACTGCAAACTAACTTGTCTGATTTTAAATACACATGTAAAATTGTTTTAAAAACAGTGAAGTATAGTATTTGTTGCTATGCGAGACCAACAGTCACTACCTTATTCAGTGTTTTGGACGCTTCCATAAAGATAAACGCGTGACCACATCGTGGTCAAGCAACTCTTAACAAGCAACTTCAAGCAACACTCAACAATGTGCGTACACGCAGTAAAGAGGCCGGAGACGAAGTCATACGACGGTGACACGGCGACACTGGATGCAGATAGGGAACGAACTGACCCAAAGTGCCCTTATCACGCATCAACAATAAAGTAAAAAGGCCCGGCGTTTCCTTTGGTTTGCTCTGAATTGCGAAATGTGCGGGTTCGGCCAGCCATAGACTGATAACCGTCGGGCGAAGCAGCTCACGCAAGGGCCGGGTGCAGGTGCGAGTCTTTAGGTCTCGGGGAAAGAGGCCAGCGCCAGCGTAACTGTGCAGAGCTACTCTGGATGACTTAGACGCGTATCTCACAAAATGTGCAGGGATAGGGGGTGGGGGGATTTTGATCGCCCCTGCTTTACTTCACTTTGCAACCGCTATGTGTGGTGATTGTTGCAGATCCTACTTTTTCCAGGGGGAAAACGACGAATTGCTCAAAGCACCAAGTTAGTATGAGTATTTCAGCTATACGTTAATATATAATCAGCACAAATCTGGAGTGTGACCTCTAGCCGCGGTGTATACATCACATCCCACACTACCAGTCACTTTTCCAATCACATCCAGTTGCATCCAGTCATTTGCCAGTTATCTAATCTTTCGACTTCCGATCAGTCAGTGCACACTCATTTCCGTAGTGTTGTACGTACCCTCGCCTCTACTCGTTACCGCATTGGTCGTTCTGTCTATCCTCCCGATAGTCTACGACGGCAATCCCTTCCATGCCGTCATTTTGCCGGTCTTTTCTCTGGTTTCCCTGACCTTCGTCGCAGCGCCGGCCGGACCGGGCAAGGGCCAGTCCGAATGAATGACCGCCCGGCACAGCGGGGGCCGCGGAGCGGTGCCCGGCGCTGCAGCGACCAGCCGCCTCCGGGGAAAGAAAAGGAAATGCAATTTACTTGATGCGACAAACAGGGGATGGGGACCGGGTGGCCACGGCGGGGCCTCCTCGCCGGGGCCACCAGGTGTGTCCCGGCCGTCCCGGCACGTACCAACGGCCTGGTGGCCTGGCCTGCCCCTGGCCTGCCCCTGGCCGGGCGTGGCGCGGCGCGGCGTCCGTCCCATGAATGGTGCTGTGGTGTCCAGGCCATGGGACGAGCAGCCCGTCCTGCCCGGCTGCAGGCGGCGCCCGCCTCCGGTCCTTTGTCCAGAGCTCATTCTGTAAAGAGAAATAAAAACCCCTTACGGAGCCCGCTGCAACGCTCGCAGAACGACCGCCGCTGCAGCAGCGGGGCCCCGGAATTGGGCGCCGGCGCAGCGTCTGCCGCCCGGTACTTAGGCCCTACAGGCGTCCCCCGTCCCGGCCGGCCCGGCGTCGACAACACTAGTCGCCGTCCTGGTGGTCTCAGTACGCCAGGTACGCCCCAGGCATGCAGGGAACGCCCCGCCACGCAGGCCACGCCACGCCCCACTGCAACGGCGCCCCGCCGGCGTCACAGAGCAACAAGCGTCCTTCCCTCGGGCACGCCGGCAGGCCGCGCCCCGCCACGCCCCTCCAGGGCCCCGCCAGGCCCCGCCTTGGCCGTCCCCACCCAAGGAAGAGGCGCGGTGCATCCGACCAATGAGCGGCGGCCGGAGCCTGGCGGGGCCCGGCGGGGGGCCGCGGGGGGGCAGGTGGGGCGCGGCCAGCCGCAGCAGCGCGCAGCGGGGCCCCCGCAACCCCCGCCGCCCCCGCCACCCTGGCCGGCCGGCCTGCCCAGACCTGCTGCTAAGACGCCCGGGCCCGGGGGGGAGGCCGGCAAGACGTCGTGGGCCAGTCAGTCGCCCGCCGGCCTCTGAGAGACACACAGCTCGTGCGAGTGCGTGAGTGCGTGCGTGCGTGTACAGTGCGTGCGTGCGAGTGTGCGTGAGATGTGAGGCCATGTGGCTCAGCCTGTGCTGCGGGTGCCAGAGCGCAGTGAGGACTACTTCAGTGATTGGTGACCAGCGACCGCGGAGGCAGTGCAGAATAGCAGGTAGGTCGAACTGTTTGAGGGCGTAGGGCGCGCGTCTCACCTCATTCAAAGGTGTTTGAATCGCCCGCCGTACGTGCATGTGAGGAGAGCGCCCTCTCCTCCAGCGTTGACATCGCCCGGCTTACCATGAAAAACTGTCTACGGAAAACTTTTCGGCACATTCATGGTTTAAATTTTTAATGACTGCTACACAAAATATGAGTAAAAAAATGTTTGTATTTAAAAATTTCTGTGACAATGTGTTCTAAGTTCTCAATTAACTAAAATCACTTTGTGACGCAAACGATTATGTAACATTGGTCATTGAAAGTACATTGTGTAAAATTATTGTGAACCGCTGTTACACACGCATACGAACGTAACAATTAGTTTTACATTTTACATAAGAATATTATTATCAGTGCATACATCATGGTGCTCGAAATAGTGCAGGCATTTTAAAAGGCTTAAAAGTTTTGTTTTACCAGTGCACTGCTCCATGTTTTTAAAAATATTGAATAAATATTCTTTGATTCTAAATTTGCAATTATTGTAGTACAGCTAGCACTCTATGGTAAAAAATAGGTAAATAGTAAGAAAAACAACAAGGAAACATTTAATTAAGCATCGTCATATTTGTCCCGCGAAGCGAGCTGGTCTTTAAATGCAAATCTACATCTACATTGCTTGTGTTTGTCATTTTGAGAGTAGAGCTACAGCAGTGTTTAGCTGCGTGGGTGGCAAACCTTCTTTCGACTTGTTCAATTTCCACGCAGAGTTCTCGCGTACCTTATTGCCAGTATTTTATGCCATTATTTCTGACAGCCGGTGTCATAAAACGGGGCAACAACAGCTTGTGCCCGTCCGCAAATCAAAGGCGTGCCAAAGTATTTATTGCACCCACGAAAGTGGTAGATGCTGCTCGTATTGGAAATTAAACAGAATCTTTATTTTACGTTGCAAAGCACCAACGAAATGTTAGTCTCCTCTATTTCGTTTTTTTCTGTAGCTGCGCAAGGAAAAATGCTTTGGTAAGGCATTATACTGAGTTCTGACGTCATTCCCAATCACATCACTGGACAAACGGTCGTCCAACCCTTTCATTCAATTGGTGACAGGGACTCTCGACTTTTTTTTCCGACATCACGAACATCAGGTATCACTTTTTTTTTTCTTCTGGACGGCTAATAAACCCAAGTAAGTTTGCTCCGGGGCGCCGAGTGCGTACTGCATAGGACTGAGACAGAAAGTGGAGAATGCAGCGCGGTCCCATCGCGTGGTGTCATTCCTCTCTCGATGGGATGTATATTTGGGATCATTTTTTTCCCCGCCCCATAGGAGTCTCGTCTCTGTCCCCATTTTTTAGGCCCGGGCAGCACGTTGATTCCTCTCCAGTCCGGGGTGTCAACAGACCTTCTCCCGTCATAAATAAGAGCAGCCCAAAGGGTGAGACGCGTCGGACGCGTCGCAGTTTGAACCGTTCGCGGGCCTCCTCCAGGCACCCTCGCTGGCCGGGCCGGGCACGCGCCGCGGACCTTATCGATCCACTGGGACCGGAGCAGACCGGGAGCGCGGCGGTTTCTGCGGCGGTGCGGCCCGATGAGCATGCGTTGCGTAGGTCGCGCGGAACCGTCCGTTTCCCGCCGCCGAAAATAAATGTCACGCGGAACTGTCGCCTTTCGTCTCTCGTGGTCGCGTCGCGTCACATGGTAGTGCCGCTGCTCGTCACAACGTCACCAAGTATTTGGTTGGTGCGTCCCCCCCGTGCAAAGTCTCGCGTTTTTGTGTGAGTCATAATGTAGAAAGGAAGAGTGGAAATTGAAAGCGGACGAGTGTACGGGGCTTCTATCCAGGTTGGATGCGGGGAACAAGCAGCGTCCTTTTCCCAATGCGCTAACGCTGGCCGAGGAGGTGACACCTCGAGGTCCATTCACCGGGAGGCACTTATTGTCTGCCTGGTCCTTGGCCTGGTGCGCTCGGTCTGCCCAGCCGTTTTGTCTCTTATTACAATCTCGGACACTCTCAACCGAAAGTGTCTCACGCAGAGCCGAGCGCCAAAGAGAGCCGTGGTGGCCACCACCATCACCTGCTCCGCGGCGTGGAGTGTGAGGTGAGGCGGTAACTTTAACATTGCAAAGACAAAAACACCTGTATCGAGAAAAGATGCAGACGCCACCAACCGCAACGTTAATATTTCCTTCTTTATTGTCGATTGTCACAATGGTAGGAGAGAGAAAGAAGAGATGATATGAAATAGTTGTGGGCGAAATCGGCTAGCTTCTCTCTCTCCCTCTTTTTTTTAAAAAATTCACAGTGTCGGCGCGAAAAACCACCTTCGGCTGGGATGCCACTTTCGCACGGCCAGGTATAATAGGGACAGCAGGAATGCCTGTTGTGATGTGGGACAGAGGGGGTGTCACATTTAGGCGCCTGGCCGGTGCGCCCGGCCGTCGCGACGCCAGCATCTGTGGGAGTGTGTTGGTGACGCTGCGGGTGACGTGGGCCGAGCGTATGCCTTATCGTCAGAGTATGCCTCACCGCTAGGAGCCGTGCGGGGCGCGGAGTGCGGGGCCCGAGGGGGCAGTGGGGAGGGGGTGTCTGTGGTACAGGGACTGTACAGTGCGGTAAGGGGAGTAGGATGCTTACTTATCAAGAGCAGCCGGCGGCGTCTGCGCCCGGCCAAGAGAGAGAGAGCGAGAGAGAGAGAGGGACACAAAATGTCCACACTAGAGGGGTGTCGCGATTATTTGATATGAGGTCACTGGCGAGTACAGTACAGTTCGTGTCGGGGAAATTGTGGGAAAATATAGCGGTCACTGCGTCGCGGAAAATGAAGACGGTCGATTCCGTGCGTTAGGGCTGACTTCTGCCACCCACCCAGGCTGAGTGAGTGAAGGGGTTTGACGGCCGCGGGCCGGGCCGGGCCGGGCACGGGTCATAAACATGTTTTGTGGATCCAGCCGGAACACCTTTGGCGTATAGGAATCGGTAATATATCATTCATCCTTGGAGTGGCGGGGCGTGGCGCGGCCCAGTGGAGCCTTCGGAGGGTTGGCTAGCGGCCTACCGCACGACAACAAGCCATGCAAAAAAAGAAAGAAAGGAAAAAAGGCTTTGTGTGTTGTCTCCGTCACCCCGGCGCGCACAGGTGAGACAGGGACGGGGCAACATCTTTCAATTTGTTTGGCTGCTATTCATCAGCGAGCAATGTCACCTCGGCCAGAGACGCCAGAAATTTCAGTTATATACTCCTTCGACAGAGACGACGAGCAAATTCCGTAACCACGACTACGCGGCGGTCCGGTATTGAAATTACATACCTCGCCTTCCAGCAGGGACGCCGGGCAGACGGGCAAATCTTTAGAGATGTGAGTTCTGCACTGGTGACCTCCCCGTGACCCCAGGGTGACACGTCGGGGTGACCCACATAGCGGAGCAACGAACTCGTCTAATTGTAACGCAACACGGGCCACGCAGCCGCCGGCTGACGGCGTATCAGCAGACGAGACTCAGCATCCAGGTCTCTGCGTGTGGCCGCGCGGCTTGCACGGCGACGGCGCGCTGCGAACGGCGCGGCGGCCGCGGCCTCGCGAGGGGCTGGAGGTCGACGAGGATTTAGCAGATTGAGAGATGAGCCCGAGACTCTTCGATCGGAATATACACGCTCACGGGTATTTGGCACCGTCCTACTGCTTAGAGGAGGGTCGGCCAAAGACTGGCAAAGAAAGGTGGGCTTTGGGCGGTAGGCCGCACCTCCGCCCGCCTGGTAGGCATCGCTTCAGCACGCATGAGGGCCTGTTGCCTAGTTGGCAGGCGGAGGCGGAGAGGCAGCCCTCTCCACACAGCTGGTGCTTCGACAGCCTATGCGTTAGTCAACTCGTTTATTCGCTGGAGCAACAACATCGCGGAGTCCAGCGCCAATTATTTTGGATCGTCCTCGTTGACAATTCAAGTACATTCGAGGCCTTCCCCTTCACTCCGGCAGTGTCCACATCCATTCATCATCTCTTTCTTATCACCTCCTCGGCGCCACACGAAAGTGCACACGCTGCTTCCCAGGATGCATCACGGTGTCTGCTCGGACGTAACAAGGCGTGGCGCGGCGCGGGGCGGCGGCGGCGGCGTGGCTGGCCGGCTAGTCAAATGGCCCCCCGGCTTCCGAGAAGTCTGCTCTGCCCCGCGGTGCCCTCAAGCTCCGCGGTGGCGTGGCCTGGCGTGGCGCGAAGTGGCGCGGAGTCCTGGAGTCCCTCCTATAAGCGCGGCCAGGCTCGTGGTGGCTCGTGATCTGGCGCTTGGTGGTGGTGGCGGTGGTGGTGGTGGTGGTGGTGGTTGTGGTGGTGTCGTCAAACTGAGTCAAACGCCGAGCTCGCTGGTGGGACGCGTGTCCGACTCCTCGGGAGTCCTCTTGCATACCGCCCTCCACACAAGAGTCAGACCGCCGACTCGATAGGACGGGCGTCGGGCCACGTGAACCGAGCGTGTCGAGCTAGTGTCATCTCTCGCTCTCTCCCCTCCCCCCCCCCTCTCTCTCTCTTTTTCTCTCTCTGACACACACGCGCACGCAGTGCCTCGCCCGCTCAAGTCTCTCCCCCGCGCGTTTCTCTTTCTCTCATTGCTCAAGTCCCCGCCACACACGAAAAAAAGCCATCCCATACGATGTCTAAAAAGTTGTAAATTTTGAAAGCTAACATGTACATACTTATGCCTATTCAAACTACTCAGTCAGTCAAAATGTTTTTGGCGGTAGGTCCACAAATTTCGTTTTTGGAATGAAGTTTTGTAATAATTAATGTGAAAAGAAAAAAGATTTGCATAATCTGTTGTAATGATTACGGAGACCTCTTTATGAATTTACCTGAAAAAATCAACTGTTTATGGTTTTATAAGTTCGAAAAAGATTGCCGTTATTTTTGCACAGTTTTTTTGTCTCAGTAACTCAGCAGGAGACATGAGACACAACAAGCTCGGGTCGGCCTTCAACATGACACTTGTTGATATTCGCGCCCTTCGCTGCCGCCTCTTATCCGTAAGGCGCCCCGGGTACTCACAAACATAACGGCGACAGTGGGGCGCGCGTGTATATGTGTGAGAGAGAGGGGAAGATGGAAGTGGGGAGGGGGAGAGGGGGGAGGGAGAGAGATATGTTTGAGGAGAATGGCGATTACTCTTATGTGTGCGTAGTGCGAACCGCGGTAGACGGTTTGGCGCGCTCGTTCAAACAGTCGTAGTCGCGAGCGGCGCGAAAAGAAGCAGCAAGTCGGCCTATGAGAGAGAGGTGAACTATAATGGCAAACACGGTCTCGTGGGTGCTTGGTCGCGTGCCTGGTGACAGTTGCTGAGTCACGCGGCCGCGCCGCGAAGTTGAGAAGCACCCTGGGTGGGAAGGAAAAGAGAGTACGGAATTTTCAAAAATAGAAGCGTATAATACGAGGCTGTGTTTAATTTTTGCATGTTCGGCGCCTGTGCAAACATTAGGTCGTAGGTCGTACAGAGATTAGATCATTGCTAAATGTTGGCGTTGCGTTCAACTCGACACCTGTCAGCGGGATTCCCTTCCAGACCAAGACAGCCGTGCGAACACAGAGAGCGTCGTTGAGCAGCAAGTCATCCGCTCCTTTCCTTATTTGACTGATAAACACTTGTTATGGTCTTGTTAGCGATTTGGGACATCCCCGACACCGCCTTGGTGCGAGTCGGTACGAATGGAAAAGGGGGAAAGGGGGGGGGGCGCCAGCGCATCGCAGCGCTGAGCCAAGCGCGTTCACAAATAAATGTGACTCACTAACCGTGTTGCCTACATACACAGGGGCAATGAGGGAAAGGGGGGGGGGGATGGGGG